GAACAATAAAATTTATAGGAAAATTCAGAGAAAGCTAAAAATGTGAATCATATATTATATATATGAAGATTGTCAACTTACAAAAATACCCTTAAAATTAAAGGTCCTTTGAAAAATCATATGAAACATATTTTGGAAGTAAAAAATACTTTGTAAAATCAATTGTCACTTTTTTAATAGAAAAAGTGACACGGTAAAAAAAAAAGTGACACACTGTCACTTTTTAAAGTTAAGTGTCACTCTACTTCTAATAAAAATTGATGTTTGTCACTAAAAAGAAATGATAAAAATAGATTGAAAAATGTGATAAACACTAAGAAAAATTGACAAAATTTTTTAAAAAAGTGACGAATTTAAAAAAGTGGCACTAAAAAAAGTGACAAATTTAAAAAACATAAGTTTGTCACTTTTTTTGTTATTAAAAAAATGACAGAAATTAAAAAAAAAAAAAGTAACGAGCAATAAAAAAAAAAAAGGGTGTTCACTCAAGCTCCCAATGTAGTGATACTGATTATGATCATATTTGTTCAAAATCCTAACCAAATAATCAGTCACAAATACAGTATCATCATCTCCCATTACGAACCATCTCACATTCTCCATTCCCAATTTTAATGTCTTCAATACAATTCGAGAAATCCGAATGGCAGGCCGGTGTCCCTGCTTGTTCTTGTAAGGAAAACGCGAAGTGTTGACAGAGATTCTCAGTTCTGGGAGATTCTCACTCTCATTGGGGTATTGTTTCAAACGGTTGTCAAGCCAAACGATGCCCTTCATTTCGGGCTTCCACCATAACTTTATGTACTCCTTTCGCTTTTCCCAAAGCTTGGCCGACGTTCCAATGCCGAAAACTATATGTTGCAATCTGGTTTTTTCAACACTTTATTGTAGTTTTATGCCCATTTGCAAAGGATAGATTGTGGTGTTTTGGATCCAAACCAATTTTATGCTATTGTGTCGGAGAGTGAAAATATCTTCGTTACAACCGTGGCGCTACCTCCTCATCTCCAGCTTCGTTGATGGGTTTTCCATCTTCTCCACTTACAGGTGGGTTTTGACTTTTGAGCGTGTTTATTATTGGGGGTAGAAAATTTAATTAGTTTTAGGGTATTATTCTATTTTGTTATTTTTTTAGGGTAATAGGCCTAATTATCCCTATGAAGAATCCATAGTAGGTTTGGGCTTGAGTGAGCCCAAAAGGAACCAAGAACCAGACCCATAACCCTAATCATTGAGTCCAGAAAGCCCAATTAAAGCAACAAGATCAATTTGGTCATTTCACACACCCCAAATTAGGGTTCTTAAACCTGGCAACTTCATCTGCTCATACACATAAAAAGAGCACAGAGAACCCTCTTGCCGTCTCTCACAGCAGGTATGTGCCTTTCTCTCGATATATTTTTCATCTGTCTATATATGCATGATGTATGTCTTTTAAGTCAAATGTTTTATCTGAAATCTATTTCTTTTATTGCATTTCTGAATCGGAACAGAGAAGAATCAGAGGAGAAAATGGCCAAGTCGAAGAATCACACAGCGCACAATCAGTCACACAAAGCCCATAAGAACGGCATCAAGAAACCCAAACGTCATCGCCACACATCCACCAAAGGGGTTCGCACAATTCGCCTGATTTCTCTTTTAATATAATATATTTGTGTGTATGTGTAGGTGTANGTGGTTCCCGTTACTAGGAGTGTGATGTAATTTCGGTAGAGTATTTTTAAGATTTCTCTGTAGATCTAGCAGTAAAATAAAATGGAATTGAGAAGAAAGATTCATGTAGTTGATCCAAATTTATGGAGGACAAGGCTTAGTTTATTGTTGTACGAGTGCATGTATGTATATATCTATGTACGCATGAATTTGTGATCTTTTTTTTATATTTGTAGATGGACCCGAAGTTCTTGAGGAACCAGAGGTATGCAAGGAAGCACAACAAGAAGAGCGGTGAGACTGCCACCGAGGAAGAGTAGATTGAGATTACATAATCACCCTTCCCCCAACATTTGGGAAGTGGATGATAAGCATTTTGGTATCTGGTATTTGGGGGTTTTCTATTAATTTGATGATGATTAGGGTTTACCTTTTGTTGGATTATAGTAGGAGATCCTTTTTATGTTACTATTTTGAATGATGTGAACCATCAACATCTTGTTCTCAATACTGATTCGAAATCCCATTTGAGCATCCTTTCATCGTTATTATTTGGTTTTTTAATTTCATTTTGATTTGATTAACAGCTGATGAATGCCTTTTTGTTGTTGAATTGTCACTTGTTTTTGTTATTGATCTTATTCCTTACTAGCCTGTTTGGTAAGCGAATTTGACAGCACTGGTGAATGAAAAATATTTTAAAATCTTGTTCGGTGTATTATACGATCCTTATCCAATATTGTGAATCAAACATGCCTAACATGAATTGTATGGGTTTTTTGAATATTCCTCGTTTTGATGTCTGTTATATTTATCTTGAAAGTTCGTGTTGTTCCCTGGAATGTTACTGGTCTGGATATTTATGATTCGGTTGTTTGTATAATCCCCTAGTCATAATATATAACCTAAAGATCATATATTGACTGTGTATACTTCATGTAACATAGTTTTGTGTTTTCATTGTGCATGGTTATCGAAGAGAACATTTAGTGTGAGAAGATTTAGAACGTGCACTGAGGCAGCCATCTATAGCATCATAAGTAGGAACACCCTTTTGTGTCTCACATTGGCCATTTGGCCTCACTCTTTGTTTACGATGAAAGTTATATCTATCGCATTCTACTATAGGGAACTTTCATTGTGATTTGTCTCTGATTTTGTTTGGGACTTTAAGCATATGGTGAGAAGTGGTGAGTAGGCATGTATATGCTTATTCCTCAGGGCAATACCTAGTATGTATTTGCGGCTTTTCCCGTCAAACTGGTCTGGACGGGTATTAGATACTGTTTGAAACTCCACTTAGACATCGAGAGGGGATCTATTAGTCCTAATCACTTTGAATTCTTCAATATGTTATCGTCACATTATGAAGTTACAAATTCACAAATCCGTTTCTCATTGACTGGATGTTCTAAATTTTGCAATGAGGTTCTGGGACGTGGCATACATTAGTTAACATGGGATAATAACATGTTTGGTCACTTATTTTCTTTCCCTTTTTAGTAACTCAACTTCATTTTCTTGCAAATTTAGGACTCAACTTTTAGTTTTTTTATTTATCATCCCGTCAGCCACTGAACTAATGGAACCTAAAAGAAGTGACTCCAGTGTAAGCCAGTTTGGATAAATTCGAAACAATATTCATAAATAGAATTAATTTTACTTCTTAAATATGCAGCCTTGGATAAATTTTACTTTACAGTTATAGGCTTGGTAAAATTTGTAGTTGAAGAAAAAATGTAAATATATATTTCTGCGTGTTTTTGGGCACAAAGCCTGAGCTTAAAGAAAAGGAGGTAGAATTTGGAGAAGGTGAAGAATTATCCTTTCTATGTGGTGTGAAGATTTGCTTGATTTTCTACAAGCCGATGGGGGGAGGAAAAAGCTGAAGAAACCGGTTTAATGAGGTCTTTTTCCAGGGATTGACTTGACGGTTTTTGATTGATAGTTATTTATTTATTTTTAACCGTCCATGAAAATTTGCCGAGTATGTGTTTGTCAAAAACCTTGTCATTGAGCCTGATTTTCTAGCAAAACTGAGAGGGAAACGAGCTATTTGAGCTGGCTATATGGCCTAGATATTGCGACGATTTGTTGTGTTGACAGGAAAAACAGAAGGCTCAATCAATCTGTGTTTGTATTTGAAAGACGAGATCAATCTGTTGAAGAACATTCTGCAGCAGCCTCTCGCTTCTTATGATGGCACGTCGACCAGCACTAGGACTAGCATTTATGTGTGATATAGTTCTGTACAAGTGGTTTAATTATGATATTATCCTCGTGATGAAATAGTTCTGTACAAGTGGTTTAATTATGACATTATCCTCGTGAACGTTGCAGTAATTACACTGGCAATCTGAATGGAAAACTGATTTTCTATAATTCAGAGCCTCGTATTCTGGAGAGCGTTCCTCGTATTATGTTCAAACCCCGCTGCAAGTTCTCTCCCTCAAATGGATGCAAAGATTTGAATTTACTGTACATGAAATTAATTCTTAATGCGATTCTAAGGATTTAGAATGTAGTTACAAGTTTCCCCTCCAATTGAAAAGATCAACATTGTATAGAGGAACAATCAAAGTTGTTATATAGACGTCTATGTTTTGGTAATTAGTCGATGTGAAATTATCGCTTAACATGTTTTCCTCAATATGATGTCTCACTTGAGTAGATTAATCTTAAAATTTATGTACTCGTTTTTCAATTTTAATTGGATCAAATTGTTCATTTTAATTTAATGAGCTTAAAAGTTCAATCTTGTTAAGAAATGAAATTCAAATTCTTATATATTGTTTTATATATCGATTATTAGTTGACATAAAATTTATCTTTTACATAAAAATAACTTAAAATTTAACCTTTACATAAAAGTAACTTCGAGTTCAAATATGAACGTTCAAATTGCATCAAGTTCCCAACATACGCTAGTTGTACCAAGTGATCGAACAGGTAAAATGCAAGCTCGCATTAGGCCTTCAAGAAGAATTTTGAAAAATTGTCATATCAATTGTTCTTGATCACCCTTCTCGACCGTAGGAAACTCTCAATGGTAATTTGTCGGCAAAGCAGGTGATCAGATTCTAAGGGCTCCACGTCTTACACCTGTGATGCGAAAAATATCTCATTCTGGTTTTGTGGATGTTGGACACGTACACTGTCGACAGATACACGTGTCCTCTTGTACCTAGTCACTCGACCCGTAGGAAAACTCTCAAGGTAATTTGTCGGCAAAGCAGGTGATCAGATTCTAAGGGCAAAAAATACTCTTACCTGTGACGCGAAAAATAGAGTAATATTATTCATCCCCAATGGGAATGAAAACACAGTCTACGTAGCGTCAATATGACATTAAATGATAGGTGAAATTAAATAATTTCATTTAACCTATCATTCAAAGACACATAGACTGTGTTTTCATCTCCATTGGGGGGATGAATAACATTACTCCGAAAAATATCTCATTCTGGTTTTGTGGATGTTGGACACGTACACTGTCCACAGATACACGTGTCCTCTCGCACCTAGTCTCCAGAACTTCCCGTTTCTCTCCTAAAATAAGTGATTTCTCTCTCCGAGCTTTCACCGTTAATTTTCTTGGAACTGAGTATTTAGCATACTTCTTTCCTCTGTTGAAATTTGTGTAAAAATGAGTATCAGTAACTCGGAAACTCGCTCGGTTCTTGATGAGCTCAGCAGCTTTAAGAAGGGAGGATTTTTTGATCTGGGCCACCCTCTCCTTAACCGGATTGCTGATAGTTTCGTCAAAGCCGCTGGGGCAAGTCTATTTACACATTTTACACACTAAATTCACTGTTATACACGTAATATATATATGTCATGTGTGTATATACACATGCATGTATATGTGAAAAGTTCTGATCTTTATACTTTTTGCTTATTGAGGGCAGATTGGAGCTGTTCAAGCTGTATCTCGTGAAGCCTATTTCGTAGCTGTTGAAAGTATGTTGGTTTTATTGATTTGTTGTCGTGGTAGAATCTGTGTGTTAATTTTCTGTTTGGTTTTGAGAACGGGTGTTTGGATTATTTTATGGATAATTTGTCTAATTTTTGGGTTCTTGATGAGATTTGAGATGGAAAGTGATTGATCAGGTGGAAGTGGAGATACAGGCGGCATAGCTCCTCCTGAGCTTGGTGGCCCGAAGAAGAACCGTTGTTGGGGGCTTAGAGGTACAAGTAGGATGATATTTACTTGGTGGTATTGAATCTCAGTGAATGTCTGGGACGATGTACTGAAAAAGAATAGGCAATATACAGAATATAAAGAACAAGAGTTTTTGTTATTTTCCTTCTAATACTGTCTGGCGTAGTTCAAAGTTGATACGATAATATATGTAGTATTTGGGATGCGGAGGCATTGCTGTGGAACATGATTTACTTCGACCAAATGGCCTAATAAGCAAGCATTGGAAAAGCAAAAAAATCTATATATTGTAGCACAATTTTTCTTTACATTAGTTATGCAGACAAGTTCAGAGGAGAACCTTGAGTTAGATACAGAGCAATATGATAGAAACCCAAATAATAAAATTGTGTTTCTTATTGAAGGTTATACGGGTAATTTGAGTCTCTAAGACTGTCCCTCAAAGTAGACAAGGCTTACCGCCCAAAATTCCGGATCATTATATTTGGATAGTTCTCTCTAAGAAGGATGGGAATAATTAATTTTTATGGTAATTCAAAGCTCTTGAACTACTTGAATTTTCTTGAATTTGGTGGGTAGGAGTTCGTGTTAATTCAAGTAGGGTCAAGGCATTTTGCATGGTAATATGGGACGCGAGGTTCAAATTATTGCTAATGGCAAGTAATATGCTACATTTGGAAAGTATTTGTAATAATAATATATAATGGAAACGTGTTGAACGTGTTGTTTCCTGATATATTAAGGGCAAAAAGTGGTTAAACCTGCCTATCTAATTTCATAATCATTCTTGAGCTCTGTGTCATATGCACATAGATAATACAGAAATATAGAAACCTCGGGTGCTTGGTTTAGCTGTGATTATAGAAAGGTATTAGTATATTTTAAAAATGGAAAAAGGCTTTTGTTGAGAATCATGTGTTGATTCCTGATATGTTCGGGGCGAAAAGTGGTAAAATCTAGTTTCTTCATCTATCGTAGAGCTGTGTAATATGTGCATAGATACATACACAAGCATAGAAACCTCGGGTGCCTGGGTTAGCTGTGATTGCAGACTGAAATGGCACAAATCATATTATGTGTGGTATATGTTTGCAATATCTGTTAGCTTGAATATTGCACTTATCGACTCTATAAACTATTTTTCTTTTGTAGTGTTGA